GGAACCCAAGCGTGCTGGGTTCGCGTTTGGATTCCTACAAACCCAGCACGATAGGAACCCAGGTGCAAAAAATTTAAAAAAAAAAATTTCTGCTTTTGTTTTTTGGATTTTGTTGTTTGATTGTGATGAAAAATTGATTGATAAGATGAAGAAGGCAAGGCAAGGCAGTTGTTGGGTTATTACAGGTGTTGGGTTCGATTTTTCAATTTCGAATGCTAGGTTTTTGCAGGTGCTGGGTTTTTGCAGGTGCTGGGTTCGTTTGCAGTTGCTGGGTTCGAAATCGAACCCAGCACACGGTGGGTTTGAGGCTCTGGGTTTCGTTTCGAACCCAGCAGTCATTGGGTCAAATATCTATTGAGTTTAATCTGTTGATTTGTTGTGTTATCCTCGAATTTAATATTAGGAGTTAGGGTTTGCAGAAGGTTAAAGGAAAGGGAGAGGAAGAAGAAAGGGGAAAAGAAAAAACAAACAAAGAAAAAAAAAAAGAATAACAAATTTTTTAAGATTTTTTTTCTTGCTATCTCATTTTTTTGTCACACTGTGCATCCTAGGTGTAAAAATATTTTTACATGTCATCATTTTCTGTCAAGAAACGGGACACGTAGGTTGATATTGACGGAAGGACCAAATCGGGGTAAAAATGGTAAACAGTAGGGACCAAATCAGGGATTTTTTTAGTTCAGGGACCAAATCGGGGGTCCGTACAATAGTCCAGGGACCAAAAAGGGGTTTTAACCTTATATAAACTAGATTTTTCCAGAAATGTTCATAGTTCATTAATGGGTGAATTTATTGGGTAGTCATCCAACTTTATCAAAATCAACATTTTAGTTATTCAACTCATAACTCTAACAAAATAAATAGTCGCGTAGGATATGACATGGCATTAACTGATGATGTGGCACTCATTGGCGAGAAACTAAAGGGGTGAGACCAAACAGTAGTCTAAAATTTTGGCTGGAGCAACGCTAAGGATAGTCGCCCTTCGCCACTCGCTCCGTCACTCTCCCCATCTTGTTGCCACGTAACACCAGTATCAGATCCCTAAACCGGAAACTGATCAAACTGATTTCATCCGGTGGCTTACGAACTTTTTCCCTTTCTAATTTTAGAATGGATTTAAAGGGTTTTTCAAAAGAACATCCTAAAATGGAATCTGCTCACCTCCTCCAGTCACCATTTCTTCCTTTGAGACCAAGAACGGATTCCAGCTTTCTTTAACCCTTTTCTATTTCATGCACCAGAAAAACATATATATGCGTTGAAAGATGACAAAACTCTATGGAAGAAAGACATGGTTGAAGGGAAATATGATCGATTGAGGACTCAATTGTGGATGGAAGGCAAAATTCTGCAAAAATCAAAGGGATTTGGGGAAAATTAAAGGTAAATTCCGTTTCAATTGTAGGCAGGTAAAGCTTTCTTGTTCGCTAAATTTTTTGTTTTCAATTTCAAGGATTCAATGCACTTTACTTGTTCTATTCGTTTCTTGTTCCTGCTATATCACTGGAATCCCTGAACTGTAATCCTTATAGCAATCCGATCACAGGTGATTTTCTGAAACTTTGAATCGATTTTCCTGTTTTCTGAATGTTGTATTGTGTTTTTGTTTCCGATCCCAATGATTCGATTTGTTCTGCCTGTTCGTGTTTGGTTTTGAAACTCGTTTCTAAGATTTCTGGCATTTTGTAGTATTCGCACCTTAAATTTTAACCATAAGAATATATAGAATCTTGCAAGTGCTTTCGATTTCCATGGTTCCATGCATTTTTACTTCTTTGTGTTGTGATTTCAAACTTGTCCCATTTTGTAGAATTCATAACTTAAATTCACATAGAAGCGTCTAATTGTGGTAGTTATTAATTTGGTTGTAGGGTTAAAGGTTGCAGTAGAGTGGTCATGGATTGGCTCAGTGCTTCTGCACCTCCTATGATAGTTTCTGATCTTGATCATACAATGGTAGGTTTCATAATTTCTTGCTTCACTCCAGAGTGATGTCATGCTTGTACTGCTATTAGTTACTTTAATTCCACATGGTGCTCTTTCTGCAGGTTGATTATCATGATGTTGAGAATGTATCCCTATTCTACATGCTTTATATATCATGCCCATGTGAAAATAAAAAGTCCCTGGTAGTTTGGAGTGTTGGCTGATTAATTAACTTGAGTATAGGTATAGATAGAACATAGAAGTATATAGCTTTTATTGTGAAAATTAGGAAAGCAAATTTATCCTAAAATAATAAACTGGTAGGTGAAGAAAACTTTTAGCTTAAATGCTTGACCAAAATGTACTTTATATAGCTGTACCTAGAACCACCATTTTAATTTTTCCTTTTTCAGGATCCATCTGTTGTAACTGTCCGTCCTACTGGTGTTGAGAAACCTCTACATGAACGCATACATGAATTGAAAGGGTGGTATGGAGACAAGCAGGGAAAAAGGTTTCGGGTTTGGGTGGATTGTGTATTATCTACACAGACTGGTTCAAGCACATGGCTGG